ATTTTTATATACAAATTATGATATCTTCGATATTTTTTTATTTAAAAATAATCGAAATCTTAATTTAAACCATCGATCTAATTACGTCAAGCTATGATATAAAATAAAAATAAAGATGGAAGATTATGTTCGAACCAACCGTTCTACTACAATTCGATTATTAGGGATGCATCCAACCACGTAAAAACAGGAACAAAAACAAGGAAGAAAGAGAGAGATAAATAAAAAAAGAAAAAAAAAGAAAAAAAAAGAAAAGAGAAGATAAGAAAGGAGAAGAGATTGGCGTTCGCAATTTTGGGACCGGCCCAAGGTTCGGGCCCCGCTTCAGGATATTAGCTCCGAAATCTAATTATGAGATTTTTATAGGGCTATCGTAAAACGGCCAAGTAATAATTCGTAACTCCGCAGGATTGTAAGTGTGTGTCTGTATGTATTTATGTGTGTATGTAAGTGTTTAAGTGTGTAAGAGAAAGATAGAAGGTGGGCCCCTGTTATGTTAGTCTTTACCGTCTGCATCCAAGCTGCACGTTTCAACCGAAAGATAATAATCTTCCTATGGGACCACCATACTTCGTGAAATACCGTTGCTAATTTTTCCTACATTTTTCGAACACTAGTTTTTTTATATATATTTATATCTTTGTCAAGGACATTTAAAAAATTTAACAAGATTTCACATTTTTTTTAGATACATTCCGAATGATTTTTATTGAACACCGTACACTATGGGACGACGAGATCGTAATATATATAAAAAAAAAAATGCCATTGTATTTTTTTAAATAATACATTTTATCTTTTTTCTGAAGGACCCTTTTTTTTGAAAAGTTAAAAAGAAATAATAAAAATTTACAAATTACGAGAAATATTTCATTGATTGTTTCGTGATGACATTCGTCCTGAAATTCTCGTCAGGATTTCTATCTGTTACGTATTTTATATCTCCACATAACTATGGTAAAAGATATAATAAAACTATGGGAGACCATAGTACGAGAAACCCATATGTATTTTTTATCTTTAGTTACTTTTTATTGAAGTAACATTTGTCTCATTTATAAAGGACACTTTCTACGAGTGTAAAAAAATTCAATTGTTCCTAAAAAAAAAATCAGAAAAAAAAGTGAAAGAAAAGAAAGAAACATTCGATTGTTACTTATGGTAAATCAAAGTAAAAATTTAACGAAAGAGAAAGAAAAAGAACAAAGTAAGGAAACAGAAAAAAACTAACAGGGACACCTTGTACTTACGTACACACACACATACATACACTTATGTGTATACGTAAACGCGTGTATAAATGGTGAGTAAAAATTTCTATGAATGTGATTATATACTTAGGAATATAATCAACCTATGCAATGTTTGTTCCTGCCAAAATTAGAAACGAAACGAAACCAGGGGGTGGAGGAGGGAGGTTGTAATGGGATGGATATATGTATCCTACGTATGCATAGTTGTAAACGTGTATGTGGAATGCGTGTGTATGATATTTGGATGACGTCACAGGTTTCTCGCCAAATAGAAAAGCAAATTTCATCGATCGTATAAAGTATTGATTTATCACCTTCGTAACACACAACCATCTTCTATATATGTGTTACGTCATTTTAGAGTAAATAAGATCAATGACGTTCGGAAATGTCTTATTAATCTAAAGGAATCTAATGATTATAGGAAAAAAAAAAAAAGAGAAAAAAAAAACAACTCTCTTCCAAGTATTCTTTTTTATTTGCTACGAAAGGATTTTTCTTCTTTATTATTAATCTTCTATTTTATTTTTCTCGTATGGAAATTATATTAATTATTAATAATCAAGAGCTTGTTTGTTTTTTTTTTTCTCAATAAATTAATCGTACGAGAGATTGATCTCGGAAAAGATTTGTTTATAATGTAAACAAAAAGAACAGAAAAAAAAAACAGTGGCAAAATAAGAATGAAACGCGTAAATAACATCGGTTGTTACAAAAACTTAGGAATCAGAAAAAAAAAAAAGAAAGAAAGAAAGAAACGTGAGAGAGAAGAAGGTGTTGTTAAAAAATCTAACATAAGACGCAATTATTTTCGTTGATACTTAAACGAAACGACCTTACGAGTAAAAAATATATTTTATAAATTATTATTTTTCTAAAAATACGTATAATCTTTTATCGAAAAAAAAAGGATGAGAATTTTTTCTGTCAATAGAATACATTTGAGGAATCGATAGAAAAGAGAGCAATGGAGAAAAAATGGAAAGGAATCAAAACAACTTAGCGAAAAAAATGATGCGAAAAAATGTAAACATCAGGAAAGTTCTTAAGAAAGATCGAAAGAAAAAAGAAAGGTGTAGAATATATATATATATATTTATTTATATATACTATACTATAATAATAATCGCCTGACTCGTTTTTCTCGCGATATTATATCGTGTAAGTACACTTTCTTGAATTCTCGTGTACTTTCGTGTCGTTTCTGATTTCATACGTATGTAATATATATATATGTATTTACTAAATCATACATATATATGTATATACACCTACAATTACAAAATTGCCGTTATTAATGGCCGATTATTATTTTCTCTGGTTGCACGAAACACAAGCTGACGTGCATCCTCCTCCAATCATTGTCGGAAAATATTTCTAATAAAATTAAAGAAGAAGAAGAAGAAGAAGAAGAAGAAGAAAGAAAGAAAGGAAAAAGAAAATAGGAGAGAGAAGAAAAATCTCTACCTAATTTCTCATAATTTCTATTCATTTATTATTCGTATATTTCTAACTCAAAAAAAAAAAAAAGCAGAAAAAAAAGTAGTAACTCATTCTTTCCTATTTAATTTGAATTTTATTTATTACTATCCTTTTGAGAGTCGTATAATAATTTCCTTTATTGAAATGAAATCGAATGAAAGGTAATTTTATATTTGGTTTTTTTTTCTTTCCTTGTCTAAAATAATTATTTATTTATTAACATATTCTTTCTCTCTTCCTCTGTAATTTGTTATTTCGGTATTCATCAATTTACTGATTTATTAATCAGAATTAATTGAATATATTCGTAATAAATATTTAATACGAGAATAATACATTGTTTTTTAAGCATTCCTTTAAAAGTTTTAACTGGTCAACGAATAAGAAAGGTAGAAAAAGAGAATTCCTTTTGGCAAGAACACTTTCACACATTAAATGAAATTATTCATGGGAGGAAAAGCTTTTAGTTTGCCAATTGGGCTGTCACATGACACATTGTTAACATACCTAATACATAAAAGATACACACAAACATGGGTGATTCACCTAAATGCGATACTTAAATTATTTGTCAACCATTCATTGAAAGAAGAAATATATTTCCAACTAACGTCGTTTGATCATATATACAAAAGTAATGTATATCAAATATAATTAATTAACTAATTTTTTTTTAATTAATTCCCCCCCCCCATTATTTGATATATATAAAGAATTATTTGAAAAAGTAATCACAATTGTAAAATTGAATGTGTTACTTAAATGACTCATCCTGTAAAAAGAAAAATTAAACGAAAGAAAACAAAATTGAATGCGTGCGAATGTATTATTATTATTAAAACACACACAAATATCTGTATAAATAAATTTTTTCTACACTTGTATATAAGATAGAGAGGAGAAGAAGAAACAAGAAAAAAGAAAGGAAAAAGAAACAAAAAAAAGCCTACGAGAAAATTCGGCACTATACTTATAAATATTAAAATTCTTAGAATCAAACTTTGCAATCGTAATGCGATAATCTTAAACAAAAAAGGCAACACACCACCATCACCATCACCATCATATCACCATCCATAACCACACCATTACCAATGCATCAAACGTTTTGCTAAAACTAACTAAATATAATTCAGATATATAAATTACTTAATCTTATTGTCAGATATTATTTCTGATCCTCCCCAATACCGTTTTGTTTATTCTAAAGAGATATTACTCTACATGAATAATATTAATAATAATAACAATAGAAGAGATGACTAAATAAAAGAATGGATATGAATAAAGAAAAGAAGATGACAAGGATATGATAAATAAAATTCAATGAAAGAAAAATCGGTAAAGATAAATAATAAGAAAACAAGAATAAAACAAATTCATTTCTATATATATATATGATGAAATATGTGTAAATTGTTTTCAAATAAAATCTGGAAAATTCAAATGCTTTGTATTAAATTGACCCTGAAAATTGCAATCAAATTGCATTATACGTATGTATAATAATCAGATTAATAGTTACAAAAGTTCGTATACAATTATTTAATTATTTATATATCGAATTATATAAAAAAGAATATGAAATAGCGTGACTTCTTCAAATTGTATTTCACAATTGGCTGCAAGTACTTTCATGGTTTTTTTTTTTTTTTAATAAACACATACAAAGCATTGAATAAAACTACGTTTCTTACGTATTGTATTTCAATTTATATCAAAGTAATATTATTCGATGAACGATCGCATACAAATTTGATTACTTGGAATATTTACAAAAGATGCTATTAAAAAAAAAAAAAAAAAAAGAAAAGAAAAAGAATAACAAAACAAAATGATCTACGAAATAAAACAAACAATTCGATTACCTCTGATACACTTTTTTTTTCTTGCCCCAAGTGTGAACGCGGTTAAAAAAAAAAAAGGGGGAAAGAAAAAAGAGACCGAAAAAAAAAAAGGAAAAAAGCACGTATAAATGCGAGAAAAATAAATATATTTCACAAAACGCGAATACATATATATATATAAACTAAGATTAAAAGAACAATTTATCTACTAATGATGCGAAATAAACTAAAAATAACAAGAAGAAGAAAAAAAAAACAGAATAAATAAGCGAAAAGTACAAATGTTGGAAACTAAAATGGGTAAGAAGGGGAGTGGGGGTGGGGCGGGGGTGGGTTAGAAAAAAACAAGACATACAAAGCAATAAGATAATAGAAAGAAAAAAACACTTGTAGTGTGTGTCTATGGGTTATCACTTACCGGTGAGCTTTCAGGCGTTTGCTGATGGTGTTCCCCCATGGGTTGTAGATTTGCCATCCCTCCACCTGGATTAACCATGTCCTGATAATCGTCGCTCATCTCCATCGCGTACGATGGTAACGGATCTTTATTCTTAACCCGAATTTTGATATTTTATTCGGCACTCGGGCCGTCCAATGTTGAAAACGAAGTTGAAATTGTTCAACTTGCGGATCAGTCGTTTAAGATCCCCCTTCTGTCGCATAGGACAAACACACAATCAAAATATAATAATAATCGATTAATTTCTTGCACTTTCTTTTTAATCTTTTAATTTTATCACTTATTGTGTAACAACAATTTTATTATATGTATATAATATACATATATATGCATATATATATATATATATATTTATTTATTATAATAAACGAATATATTTTTATATTTTAAATGTTATACACCTATTTTTATTTTATTTAATTTTACTTTATTTTATTTTATTTTGTTTTTTTAGATATGCATTCGTATTGAGCGTTTTTTTTTTAGACGTGTCCTGTTTCTTGTTTCTATAAGTCAATATACTTTTTCATTTTGTTTTATTTGTCTTCTGTCAATCACGATCGTTCACGTATTAAATATATTGATATAATTTTATTAAATAAATTATAATATATATATGTATTGTGTAATAATAATAATAATAATAAATAACTCTGTAATAAGAGAAGAAAATCATGTACGTGGTGTAAACGATAAAGTGGAGAAGAATTTTGGCAGAAAAAGAANAAAAATAATAATAAAAAGAAACACGAATTGTTTATAATTTAACGATAAATAAGAGTTATATAATATATCACTGATAATCATAGAGTTATCCAATTGTTAAGAAATTCTAAGGATCTTAATTTTTTATGATTCGAAAATATTTTCGCAATTGTAATAAGTCTCCCCGTTTGTTTGCAATATATTTATGTATTGTTCTTTATCAATCGTATCGTTAGTCCAACACGCCCGATAAAATATTGTTGTATTTCTTTTTAAATAATTACTTTCATATTATTTTTAATCGAGAACATATATACGCGTCGTCGTGTTCATAAGATTTTAACACACCGAAACTCGTTTTAATTATTGCACTAGTAAATCACGTTTAAACTTCGTTGCGTAGCAATTGCACGTTAACTTTTCGCATATAAATTCGATATAATCGAAGAGATATTCAGATTTTAAAATGAGAAATATTAAAAAAAAAAAAAATAAGAAAAATAATCAAATAAAATATCAATGAACGAGAGATAAAGTTTGTACGAGTCAATGTGAACGATGAGTTGTTAGAGGGGCGAGGGGGTAGGTTTACACCAAAAGAAAAATTCAATATATAAATGTATATAAAATCAAATCAATTGGAGGGTAGTGGGGGGGTTGGGCGCGGGAGGATAAAAAAACGTCACACCAAGTATGGATCAACGTACCACGAATTATATCAACACCGTGCCGTCGACGGAGAGACTGACAGAAAATTTTCAACGATCCCTACTCGAAAAGAAATCCCTCTCGGGAAAATAAGAAAGAGATAGATAATCCAGAAAGAGATCAAGGGAGGGGAGGAGAAGATAGATAGTAAGGATGAGGGCAGATTTAGAAAAAGAAGAAGAAAAAAGAAGGAATGGAAAAGGTAGGGATAACCAAACACGACGACGATGACACTATAACCACTCTTATCGCTTTTTTTTTTTCTCGTCCCCCACCTTTATATCTTTCTTATATTTTTGTGTCCTTTTTCTTTTCTTTTTCTGCCAAAATTCTTCTCCACTTTATCGTTTACACCACGTACATGATTTTCTTCTCTTATTACAGAGTTATTTATTATTATTATTATTTTTATTAATTAAGTAATTAATCATATTTTTTTTTTCAAATGTCTTCCATTATATTTTGTTTGTTCGTTTCTTCGACATAAAAACTTTGTTACGAATCGTATCGCATGGATAGATTTATTTATTTGATTTTATTTATTTATTTGCTGCTCGTTTATCCTGCTTTTTTTTTTTTCGTCAACGCGCGTAAAAACTTCAGTTTAAACTTCGATCGATTTTCGCGTGTGTTTTGTTTTTTTCTTTTTTTGTTCGTTCGTTCGTTCAAATCGAATATTATAATTCGTTAGCGCGCGTATTCATTTATCGTGATGTGTGATCGATCATATTATAACGCGCGTTTATATATATTTATATAATATATTTTGATATTTATATATTTGAAATAACAAATGTGAAACTATTATAAAACACACGTTGTATTATCGAAGCAGGAGAGGACTGATGACGCGCGCGCACCGCGTCCTCTTGCGATCTGACCCAAGCGCGCGCGTTCGAGTCTCGGGGAACGTTCAAGTGGACGGACTTTACCCCCACCACTGGTTTTAACTGCTAACCGGCTACTCTGAGACACTCATTGTGGGCGTGGCCACATGGATTTGATACCACGCCTATTCTATCTACCAGGCCGAGAATTCACTCCTTGTATTGGATACTATCAAGATTATCCTACTCCAATTTTCTTTCCTACATCCAATCGTAACGCGTTTCCCGATATCTTACGCGTATAACCCTTCTTCTGCTTAAACCAATCATTTTATTTTCTATTGGTTTTTATTTTATTTTTTTTTTCTTTCCTTTTTTGTTATCTTTACAAAGAGATCATACCGAGAACAAGGAAATTTTGTTTAACAATAAGACTTATCGATAATCGTTGGATTTATTAAACTGTTGGATATTTTACATTTTTATAAGATGTATCTGAGATTTGCTTCTTCTTCTTCTTTTTCCTTCCCCTCTGATGCACCCAACCTTAAGGCCCCGATTATTTCATACGATTTTCTTTTTTATATCACCCGCGACAATAGAATACAGATAGAAATGATATTTATTATTCGTTTGATGTGGAAGGAATAAAAGAAATCGAAAAGGTGAAGACTATGGAAGTCGTATAATAAAGGGACCACAGGGGAAATCAAAAAGAAGTCTGTTGAATGCTAAAGAAATAGTATACCGTTCTAAGAAGGACGTAGAAAAACGTAGATCATAGAAAATCCAGTTCTTAGTAACACCTTCTCATATTTCTTCGATACTACCAAGAATTTTTGGTATCAACGACACACGATTTTTGTCATTTGTTTCTTCAAACGGGTCACGTTACTTGCTTGACTTTATTTTTTTTCAAACGACAATAATTTAATCCAATATTTATTGAATTAAAAAGAATTTCAAAACAAAAAATGCAATTCAATAGGATTGAATTAAATAATATAAAATTCGAGAGATAAAAAAGTAGTAGGACATATAAATGTAAAAAAGAAATCCCAAAAATGAGATTTTATAATTTAACCCAAAAAAAACGGTCTTCGTGTGTTGATTCTTCCGGGGAGCGAATTCTCTAACCTATTGAACTTAAAAAACCTCACAGACCATAATCAAACCAAGGAATACGAATTTTAAGCCGAATAGTTCGTTTTTGGGAACTGGTGTTAATGTCCCCCTGACGCAAACCTTTAATTGTTTGTTCGTTCGATGAACTTTTTTCGGATAAAATTGGACCCTTTTTTTGTTGATTATGAAATCTAATGTGAAGTTCGAGGACTCGAACCTCGGATGTTTCGCACACCGAAAGACCGCTCTAACCACTGAGCCACGAAGACCTCTAGTGTTAAGTAAACAAAATTTATGTATTGAGTCACGAGTTACGAAATAACAATACAATGAATTGTACGAGATAATATCGCAGAATTAAATCAAAGAAAACAGAGGAATACGAGTAAGGAATCTGTGTGTACAATTAATAATAAATCAATACGAATTTTATATAATATAAAAATAATAATATATTAACCTATTATAAATCATAATTTTTACGATTAATTAAAGGGAATGCGTTAAAAGATAAATTATTCGGAACTTATTAAAAGAAATGACAAAGTGAAGTTTTCATGCAATTCAATATAACAGAGAAACGTTGAATAAATGAAATTAAAGTGAAATAATAAATGTAATCGGTATTTTGAATTTGTAAATAGTGAAAGAGATAAAAAGTGTCGTTTAAAATGCAAAATATTATCTTTGAACTTCCGATGAAGATAGGAAAAATGCACGATGCGGGCCATACATACGCACCTAACGAATTCTCCAACGAGAAAGAAAAGGATAGAAGAATGGAGAATGAAGGGAGAGTAAATTTATTCTTTTGGAGTATTTTCGAAGAAAAACACCTGTCCTGTTGGTTTGAAGAAGAAGAAAAAAAGAAGGGTGGGGGGAGGAGTAATTGTACTTCAATTTAATGCGATTACGATGATTTCTTTTTAAAAGTAAACGCCACACGCATAAACCTAAATTGCACGCTTATTTCTATTATCTGTGCATCTACGTATATATATTGTTTATTCGATTCAAGTTTAAACTAACACGTTGAAATATTTTCTGGAAGATCAATCGAAATTTTTGAAAAATGAAATAATGTCAGAAGAAAAACCTAATGGAATCCGAATTTATGTGACGTGAAGCCCCCGATCAATGATAAATACGATAAGGTTAGGTCAAATTAGAAGAAAAATACCTAAAACGATTATGACTAATGCTTTTAACGTTGAAAATAACTGCATCTTTTTTAAGAGGGTAAAGAATGAATGCAAACAAAAGAAAAAAATATGAGATTAGGGAAAAATTGATAGAAATGTTTGTCCATCCAACGATATATCGTTGATGTAAAATTTCGGATAGGGAAAAGTGTTCCTAAATAAATAAAATAATCATTTATATTGATTAAAATAAAGTTACATTCTTTTTTATAGATTCTTTTATCTTGCCAACGGTTGCCACAACTGATCTCGAAAAAACAGACATTTTCCTTTACGCGTTACCAATATAACAGGGTCAACGTATAAATTCAAACAGAAAAAAAAAAGAACGGACAGAATTAGTCGAATAAATTCAATATTTTATAATCGAAACACATTGGAGAAAAACGTTAATTTAAATAAAAACTATATAACACAAACGTTTAAACAGATATTTGATGTTTGAATTAAAATAATATTAAGAATTTTTTGGACGGAGGAAACCAAGATGGCCAAAACTATGCGTGATGCAGGAAATGAGAACGACAACGAACGGTAAGCCCTCAAAAAATCAGGAAGAGAATTTAGTTAAAGTGTTGAGGGAAATGGGTATTGACAGAAAATGATAGAGATGATGAAATAACGAATATTCGCGGGTTCGAATAAATGATATAATAATCGAATCAATACAAACTAAGGGAAACCGAAAAAAAGAACGCACGAATACGAACATAAAAATAGGTGTATACACAATGGGACGCATTTTTTTGCGTCAATAAAACGAAAATTATCACAGAGATACACAAATAAAGATAAGAAATAAAAATTAATATAATTAATATAAAAAATATGTTTACTTACGGGAATCCGCTGATGGTGAAACGAATAAAGATGGTCGATGTTAAATAATGGAACAAACAGTCAATTGATTGAAATAATTAAATCGGTGTAAAATAGAAACAATGAAATTCAATCGTTTGATAATACGAAAAAAAATGATTAAATATGAAACTAAATGACTGTGTGAAAAAATACAGGTTTGATGTAAAGAATCAAAATGATTTTCAATTTCGATGCCGGAGAAGATTGACTGGGCTGATGCGGGATCGAAGCACGAATGATCTCCATTTTTTACGCTGAACCTGCTAAGGTTCAGAATTGACTTAGAAGATATGTATGTGGAGGGGGAAAGAATTATGCTGAGGTTATTCAAGGTAGAGCTTGCTGTAGCCAAGTGGATTACTATAGTCGGAAGATGTTGGAAAAGAAATAAGATATATATTGACAATAAAAAAGTCAAAGTAAAATAAATTATTAATATTTTTTGTTATAAGATTTAATCACGTTTATTATATGCATATCGGATTAGATCGAACCACTACTTATTTATTAATTAATTTAAACATATTACAAAATTTGGATTAACAAATGAAAAAGGATAAACATAATGAAACATCGTTGATTATTTAATGCACCAGTTTTATCAAATGCGTTTCATTTTTCTTCATCGAATTATTGTACACACGTTGTACAATGTTAAAATAAGATTTAACGATTTTTATAGTCGTGTTTTTCAATAAAACTTTTAGATATATGCTAAAAAATGTCTAAAAAATGTCTAAAAAATGTCAAAAAAATATTTATAAAATATTTAAAAATCTCTGTAGCTGTATTATAAGATTTAATTATTAATAAAAGCCGATTTAAAAGTAGGGTGTGACCCATATTGTTTGCTGTTCTACCCAAAACTCAGGTAGTACAAAAAAAACTTATCGAGAAGGGGAATGAAGGGAGTGAAATAGGTGGGATAAAAAAGGATGGAGAAGAATACTACACAAAACCTTTGAAAATGGATTCCTCTAGAAGAAAATGGTCTCCATGGAACTTTATTTATCATTTTAAATTTTAATATTTAGTTAACATAAGACTAATAACTTTTATCTGCTTTTGATTTGTACAAATTAAACGAAACAAAAAATAAATAATCAGATAAAAAAGTAATACCCACAATAATAATAATAATAATAATAATAATAATTTAATTCAAATAAATTACTAATTATTATAACATTATACAGCGTACCAAGTGTACAGTTCAAACATTTCAATGCAATTCATTTGAGATTGAAAAGATTTGTTTTATCTGTAAAAACCGAGTCAGAGAAGAATCTCAAAGTTAAAGAAAAATCAAAGAAAAATGTATCAGCCAATACTAAGACGAAGAGGGATGGGAAAAGAGATGGGAAGAAGGAGAATATAAAATAATAAAAAGTGAAATTGTTGGTCGAGAGGAAAAAGACTGAAATCTATTGGTTCTTTAACATGTCATCTTATTCGAATGATCAACGTTATTCTCCTCCCACTATTATTCCTTTTTTTATCTTTTATTGTATCTGCATTCGTTTCTTATATCCATCAAACGCTTATTCGAAATTTTAAATTGAATGGAAAAAGGCAGAGGTATGGACTTAAGTCCATCAACCATCCGTTTATTCATATATCCAATGTTGAGGCTCCCCCATACCATTCTCTCTCTCTCTCTCTCTCTTTTATCTTCTTTTT